CCAGGCAGGTCTCAAACCTGCGGGCTCAGGCAATCCACTCACCTCAGCCTCCCAAAGCGCAGGACTACAGGCTGAGCCACTGAGCCCGGCTATGATATTTTCTCTTGAAAATGGCTCTTGCTTTCCTGTTTGTTTGTATTTTGAGTAAGTTTCCATCGTTTCTCGGATTTTTTTTTTTTTTTTTTGAGTTGCAGTCTCACTCGGTCAGCCAGACTGTAGTGCAGTGGCCGCTCCCGGTCACCGCAGCCTCGCCTGCTGGGCTCCGACGATCCTTCCGCCTCAGCCTTCCGAGTAGCCAGAATTACAGACATGTGCTACCACGCCCGGCTGATTTTTTGATTTATTGTAGAGATGAGGTCTCGCTGCCCAGGTGGGTCTCGAACCCGCGGGCTCAGGCAATCCACTCACCTCAGCCTCCCAAAGGCGCGGGATTACAGTTTCTCGGATATTGAAGTATAGGAATAAGATGTTGTGGAAACTCTGGGTTCTGTTATATAACTCCAAAGAGTATTGGATTTACTGTTTCAGCAGCTAAGTTGGAATTCTTTTTTTGTTTGTTCGTTTGTTTGTTTTGGTTTTTTTGAGTCAGAGTCTCACTTTGTTACCCAGGCTAGAGTGCAGTGGCATGCTCATGGCCACCACAGCCTCGACCTGCTGGGATCTGGCGATCTTTCCACCTCAGTCTTCCAAGTAGCTGGAACTACAGGCCTGTGCCACCATGCCTGGCTAATTTTTGATTTATTGTAGAGATGAGGTTTTGCCAAGTTGCCCAGGCTGGTCTCGAACCCGTGGGCTCAGGCAGTCCTCTCACCTCGGCCTTCCAAAGTACTAGGATTATAGGCCTGAGGCACCGTGCCCAGTCCTGTTTGTTTGTTTGTTTGTTTGTTTGTTTGTTTGTTTTTTGAGTCAGTGTTTCACTCTGATGCCCAGGCTAGAGTGCAGTGGCATGCTCATAGCCACTGCAGCCTGGACCTGCTGGGTTCAGGAGATCCTTCCGCCTCAGCCTCCCAAGTAGCTGGAACTACAGACACATGCCACCATGCCTGGCTAATTTTTGTGATTTATTGCAGAGACTAGGTCTCGCCAAGTTGCCCAGGATGGTCTTGAACCTGTGGGCTCAGGCAGTCCTTTTGCCTCCACCTCCCAAAATGCTGGGATTATAGGTGTAAGCCACCACTCCCTCAGAATTCTTTTTTTTTTTTTTTTTTAGTAGGAGTCTCACTCTGCCACCAGGCTGGAGTGCAGTAGCGCACTCTCGGCCACCATAGCTTCGACCTCCTGGGTTCCAGTGATCCTTCCGCCTCAGCCTTCTAAGTAGCTAGAACTACAGGCATGCGCCATCACACCCAGCTAATTTTATTTATTGTAAGACGAGGTCCTGCCAAGTTGCCCGGGTGGGTCTCGAACCCGTGGGCTCAGGCAATCCACTCACCTCAGCCTCCCAAAGTGCTGGGATTACAGGCTGAGCCACCGAGCCCAGCCTGGAATTCATTTTAAAATCTTGTGCTGCACTGCGTGGTTCATGTGCCAGCAGGGGACTCAGACAGAGTTGACACACAGGATTTGGGGCCCCTCTTTGGCTCTTCTGGGATTTCCTCTCTCACTTTCCAGCTATAGTCACCCTGGACTCTGTCCCATAGCTCTTTTTTTTTTTTTAAGTTTTCAAGCAAGGTTTATTTAGAAAACAAATTAGAGAGACAAAGCAAGAGAGGAGATTCACCTCCCCAAGGTAGGAGAGGGGGCCGAAGCTAAGAAGACATGGTGGTCATTACTCAAAGAGACATGTGGAGACAGCAGAGTTTAAGAAAGCAATGGCCTGTCCTGTTGTTCTTCAAGCACAACTGCACCGGACCCTCAAGCCACAAGCTTACAGGTCATTCGGCCGGACATGGTGGCTCAAGTCTGTAATCCCAGAACTTTGGGAGGCCAAGGGAAGAGGATTGCCTGAGTCCAGGGGTTCGAGACCAGCCTGGGCAACTTGGTGAGACTTCGTCTCTATAATAAATCAACAAACGATTAGTCAGGCGTGGTGCCATGCGCCTTTAGTTCCAGCTACTTGGAAGGCTGAGGCAGAAGGATAGGCTGAGCCCAGCAGGTCGAGGCTGCGGTGGCCATGAGAATGCCACTGCACTCTAACCTGGGCAGCAGAGTAGACTCCAACTTAAAAAAACAAAAAACAAGACAGGCTCGGTGGCTCAGCCTGTAATCCTGTGCTTTGGGAGGTTGAGGTAAGTGGATTGCCTGAGCCCGTGGGTTTGAGACCTGCCTGGACAACTCGGCGAGACCTCATTTCTACAGTAAATAACAGTCTCTTCTTCCAAGTGGTAACTCTCTCCAGAATCTGCCTTGTGCCTTTAGGTCATTGTTTGTATCTTGTCCAGCCAGAGTATGTAGTTGTCATCTGTGACAGGGTCGGCCCTTTAGCACCGTTCCAGAGTGGAATGTCACATCTGCTGATTTCTCGGAACCCAGTGGAGACAGGGTCTCATTCTGTCGCCCAGCACAGAATGGAGTGCAGTGGCACAATCATAGCTCACTGTAACCTCCATCTCCTGGGCTTAAGTGATCCTCCCACCTTAGCCTCCTGAGTAGCTGGGACTACAGGTGTGAACCACTATGCTTGGCTTATTTATTTATTTTTATGTATTGTATTATTATTATTTTTAAAAATAGAAACAGGGTCTCACTATGTTGCCCAGGCTGGTCTCGAACCCCTGGCCTCAAGTGATCCTCCTACCTTGGCCTCCTAAAGTGCTGGGATTATAGGCAAAAGCCACCATGCTTGACCCCTTGTTTTCTTTTTTAAGCTCACAACTACACTCAGGAATTTTTTTTTTTCTGCACTTCTCACTGTCTCTCTTTTTAGCCATCTGCTTATTCATTCAACAAATATTCATTGAGGCCAGTCCAGGGCGAGAGCCCTTCCTGGGTGCCGGGAATGTTAAAACAGGAGAGGCAGCCATGCTTCTGACCGCCTGCCCTGATGGAGCTCATGTCTCAGGAGAGAAAGATGAGGTTTCTTCTTGGCTGGGCCAGGCCTGGGCTCTCGTCTTCCTCTCCCATCTGACCGGGGCTATCTCTTCCTGTTTTTTTTTTTTTTTTTTTTTT